TTCAGAAATGTAGCATGGTCCTTGGAGGACGATCAAAACTCAAATGGCCTCAGATAGGAAAAAGCTTCCCCACCCCTGAATTAAATATTTATCTTGTATACATGTAGCATTTGCATTTCTGTGCCAACCGGATTTTTTTTCATACATACATATATCTATGCAACGTGAGGAACAACATAATTAAACTGAACATGGGCCTGAATCCATGGACCAATAAGAAAGACAATAATTTACTGCATCTCAATACAGCGTTGAATAACAATGGTCGTAAAAAACACTAGTATTCCGCTAATGATTCTCCTCCAGGATTTATTGTGTTTTCCAGCGTGTGGCGTACATAAAACACGCTGTGTCCCCTGCGCTCATCGTCTCGTCCCTCCCCGCGCCTCACAACCCTTTCTGCAGGTACTACCGAGGCCCAAAATTAAATTTTAAACATTCCGGCCCGGTGTTTGGTGACCATGGTTAATCATCGGGAAAGAAAGACATCAAACAATATTTGATAATGAGAAAAATGCCTCCAGGATATTAGGGGTGGGTGGTGGAAGTGGGGTGTCGTGGATGGAGGAGGGGGATGGGGGGGGGCACAGCGTGAGACGCTAGCTGCAGCACAACAGAGTCTAGACCAGAAGCGTCCGTGTGTGTGTTTGAATGACATTGTGTGTGTGTGTGTGTGTGTGTGTGTTTGAATGACATGCAAGTGCGCGCGCGCGCGCACACACACACACACACACACACACACACTCACGTTAACTATCTACGGCCCACTCAGTCACCTCTTACGGAGTTAAAAAGCCATTAAAGCATTGCCTCTTTCTTAAAGTTCATGATGAGATAATTAGAATTCAAGATTGGAGAGCCGGTGCGCTGAGATTAGCTGTGCCGTGTCTCAACTCAATTATTTCACGTTAAAATGGATTTTGAGCAAGGGGAGGGGGGCGGGCATCCAGATGAGGAAAACTGCAGATGAACAAGTGATTTTTTTCCCTTGATTTTCACTTACAAATGCATGTCATTCAAGACATATAATACTCCATCTGGGCGACACAAAATAAATGTCAAAATATAAATGAAATCAATAAATGCCTCCTTCAAATAAAAAACCCCAAAAAAGGAAGATGCGTGTTACATGTAATTACCTCAGTTCCTAGAAGGTATTGTTCATACGTGACATTAGAGCCCATCTGAACTTAGTTGCTAACAAAAACAACAGCACCTACTTTGTTCTGTGCAGCCTGTTCTTTCTCAATCATTTCTTTATTTCGATCTCCGATTTCACTCATTCAATATGTTTACTTATTTTCATGGCTAAGCAGTGAATGAAAACACATTCGTGGTTGATTGTTGTGCCCCTCAAAAACACACAAATTATATATATTTACTTGTCAAATATCAATTATACCGGCATAGTCGTGAAAAAATTTAAATAATTTGGGAGCAGAATGACAAGTTTAAGGTGCCGGCGTGTCAGATAATGAAGGGGGTAAAATGATTTGCCCCGTGCTCCTTTTGTGGCATGTTTTTGTGTTGCTGATTGACACGGCGTTGACAGTCTGGATGGAATGGCAACGCAGGCCAATCGGCAGCATGTGCAGCCACCTTCGGTCATGCAAATTGGGCCCAGCCCGGCCGGCCGGCCGGCCCGTTGACTATGATTAATGAGCTCGGTCTGCCGCCTTTGTTTCCCGCACACAGCCATTTAGGGGTGAAATACAATCCCAAAATATTATCAATCCTCTATTAATCTGGTAAATTTGCTCAGGCCGAACAGCGTGCTCTTCCTGCGTCTCGCGAGCATTGGGCACAATTGCATTTAATCACTTGTCTTGCTAATTAGATTCATTAAAAGGATAATAAAATAAATGGAGGAGGCACAGTGGAAAGCTCAAGCGAAACACATGTCTTGTCTGCCGCGTTGTAAAATATGGATGTGGGATTTTCTGGGGCAGTCATGCTGTTCAGAGGGGATGAAGGCACGAATCTGATACCGTGCTAATACTACAGGCATTTCCTGACTCAGGCTTCCCTCGTGTTTAAACTGTGATTTTTAGAGCTGAGATTCCAGACTCCCTGAAGATTCCAAGAGCAATTTTGCGGTGCGGGGCCAGTGAAGTCACCGACTTCAGCGGCGGGTGAGGGGCGGTGGGGGTGAATAAAAGAAGAGGGAAGAAACATTATGACAGTAATGCTGACAATGGAATGAAACCAAACACGCTCTTTGCATGGTAAGCGATGCCACTGGATGTGGAAAAGAGAGACAGGGGCTAATGGGCAAGACGTGGAAGATCTTACAATATTCCTCAGATGTGCGACGAGTAGAGGAAATTACACGAGCAAGCAAATCATCAATCATTATATCCGTCAACTGGGGATGCTGTCAATTTCCCCGACATTTATTCTACTGCGGGTATATAAGCGGCATTAGCGGCACCTTGCTTTGCACTACAATGGCAGCGAGAAGCGAGATCAGTGCAGCCTCTCTCTGATATCACAGGGAGACACCCTTTGTAAATTCACCTCCCACTGTGAGCAGGCTTCACAGCTGGTTAACGGCGCTCTGTGTACCACTGCCCTGCTTGCGCAGAGCCTCTCGACGACAGCTCCATTCACAGAGACGGTCTCTGTCAAAAAAAAAAAAAAAGAAATTAATAACATGACAAGATTTCCCAAAAATGACAGTCTTCTGTCAAAATGCTGAGTCTGGTTGGAAAGGCCACTTCAAACTGAGTACAGCGCACCAAGAATGTGGTCTTTTCTGGAGGAAATCCTTTTTTTTGGGGGGGGGGGGGGCAAAAGGCCTTTTTGGGAATGTCTTGTGTGATTCCGCCAATAGAAAACCTTGCCATAAGAACACATTAAAATAAGAGTAAGATTTTTTTGTTTCGTCTTCTTCTCAGGAAACCAGTTTTCTCTGGTTGGCAGTTCCATGTATAGATATCCACCAATTACTGGTACAGGCTAAAAATCCGAGTCGTCAACACGTCAAAATTACCATGATGGTTGAAATGCCTGACACTACCCCTAAAAACTCAAATTAACTTGCAAAAATGACAAGACAGCTTTATTTATACTGTAAAGCACATTCCATACACAAGATAACTCAATGTGTTTCACACAACCAAAGACAAAATAACATTTAAAAGCTTTTAAAACCATTTCCAAACACAACAGTTTACGACATTCAGAAACAAAACAGAGAAAACAAAACTTACTTACCAAAATAATTAAAACAATGTACATTGACAGTAGGGCTGGGACAAAAAGTCGACAAAGTTGATCACAAAAAAAAAAAAGATTGACGCAAACGGTTTGGTAGCTTGGAATTGGGGTCTAGCATACCCATTTGGATGTTAGCGTTCATATTGCTTAGCTGCAAGGTAAGGTGTTTTTAATCTACCATCACTACTTCAAACATAGTTACCCCAGCATCGCTAATTGGAAAGAACTGCATTATGTTATATCACATTTATTTAAGACGTGTGACAGTTCTACATGGAAGCTAAAATGTGTTCAACTGCAAGAATGCTTAGCTTAGCTTAGCATAGCTTGACACACATCTGTTGTCAACAGAGCTCTAGTCACGCTCAGTCACTGTCATACTTTTTATGACCCAGAAGTGTACTTTTTATTCAAATATTGTATTTTATGTAATTATCGTTTTACTTCTTTGTTGGTGTTACTCCTGACTCAGGGCTAAAGAAGAACAAGATGACGTCAGCTACTCTTCCTGGGCAGATTATTTGGTTATAGCCTACAACACTGCCATGGAAACAAGAGTTCATAACGTTTATTTGGCTCACATCGCTTGAAAAAAAAACTGCACCAATTGCCCATCCTTGGTAAATTTCGCAGAAACATGACCGTTTTCATGTCATCATGATTGTGTAAATGTAGCCAGGATGCACCGACACAATATCATCTGTGCTCTGACCGCCTTTAAAGCCAACACAGTTCACTGACTCCCAACCCGGCCTCTGATTTTTATCTTTTAATGCCATCACATTACACTGATCCTTTTCTACCTATTACACACCCCTCCAGCAAACTCCCCACCCCCTTATCCTCTGATACCTAGCCCAGGCGCTCCTCCTGCCCCTGACCTTGGCCCTTTGAAGCAATCAGACCAGACTTCTGATCTTATCTGGCGCTACCAATCCCACTACACAGCTTCCTTTTGTAGCCGAGCGCGGCGCAGCGAGCCATTTCAGACGCGCAGTCTGTGCCGATGAACACGCGCCAGGGCCGTGACCTCGCCTCATCTCAGTCATCATACTACACTGCCCAACAACAATGGCCTTTATTTCCCGACGCGGCGCAGGTCATGATACAGGCTGCTCATCAATACATTGTTCAATCACAATGGTGAGGTACCAGCAATAGTGTTGTCAAAGGAAATGTTTTGACTTTATCGAATTGCGGTTCAATGAGACATTTCCAATTGACAAGGGAGGCTCCTACATGCTCTGCATTAACTTTGCGAAATAAAAACACACAAAACCGGAAAAATATCCTGATCCTTTGTCACATCTCTGAATTCGTGTATCAAGAGAAAATTAATTACAATTACAATTAAAATGAAGCCTTTATAAAATACTGAACTTCAATGGGAAGATTTGTCATATTTGATTTGAAGTTATACATTTTTTAAGTCATTTTACTCTACATGCTTTTTTGTTCCAGCTATTCCTCTCTCATTTACATATTCGTACCTGGCCCAAAGTCAGCTGGGATACTTCCATCTTACCTGCAAACCTTACAAGCAGTGTAAGAAACTGATTAATTTATGGCATGAATAGAGTGTGCGATTGTGTGTGTGTGTGTGTGTGTGTGTGTGTGTGTGTGTGTGTGTGTGTGTGTGTGTGTGTGTGTGTGTGTGTGTGTGTTAGTGTGGGCGCGCTCGTGTGTGCTAGTGTGTGCTCCAATCACGCTTTCCGGGAGGCAGCCTGTCGTCATCAGAATCCTGCCCACGATACCACAAAAGAGCAAATCACAATGTAGTATACTCAGCTCTGGGGAGGGCTAAACCAATCGGCGCACAGCTCGCTCCCGGGTCATCACTTCAACTTCCAAGCGGGAAGTGGAAACGCTGTCGCAAGGGGTCCCGGATAAATGGTAAACAAACCCTTTTTACAGGCTTTTTTATCATTCCGTTACCATACTTAACTACATCTAACGCACGGTCCGGATTCGGTAGCAGTTTAAAAACCCTAAATACGAAGTTGATTCGTTGCGTTTGTTCAAGCAAAGGACGAAACACGACCAGCTATGATGACAATTTGTTTTGACAGTTTCGCTGATATCTGCTCCTCCTTATACAAATCTGCCAGCCACATTTTAAAAAGGATGTATTTTTACAGACATATGAAGATGAAACTCTCCCGTGCGGAATACAAGGAGATAGTGAGATGGACAGAGCAATTGAGACCAACACGGCAGTGTATGAAGATGTTAAGGGAGAGATTTCCAAAGTAAGTCACCAGCCACCGTTGTATTTTATTGTGGCAGACACATGACACTGCGTTTGGACTTCTAGTACCATAATATGCATTTCTTGTCAATGAGAATGTGCGAGATGATAATTACATTCAAGGGTACACCTTCATTAGCAATGATACAACCATAGTTTAATTTGTTATGTGAACAAGCTAGTAACCCAATTGATTGGTATATGAAATCAATCAACATTCACTATTGAACTGAAAAAAGTGACCTTGCAACAGTTATTAATGCAGAAAACAAACAAACAAACAAAACCCTCACTGGGAAAGTTAATTTACCAGTACTGTTGTCTGTTATTACTACTATCCATCCATTTTGTAATCCGCTTATCCTCACAAGGGTCGCAGCCATGCTGCAGCCTATCCCCGCTGTCTTTGGACATTAGCGGGGTACACCCTGAACTGGTTGCCAGCCAATCTCAGGGTATTACCATACACTGCAGATCATATTGTTTTATTATTGTAATGTTGTACTGTATGGTAGTAGGTACTGTAAACCAGCGTATTTCCAAGGCATCCTTGGAGATTTGTCCCCGCAGTGGCCGATTAACTTGAATTGGTACATAAGTTGGAACATGTAATATATTACTGACATACTCTTAATGCAGTAGACCCGACAGAGAGATGGATGGATGCTTTATTAATCCCATGACGGAAATTGGCAACTGAACTGAATTCCTGTATTACCGATTTAAGGTTGTGGAGCGTCATACTCATCCATTTTATGCCTTTGTGAAACTTGTCATTCAGAGCATAATTTTTAGACTACTACATGTTTGAGCTATGTGATGTCCATAAAAAAAAAAAAAATCCTACACTGTCAAAGGCTATTTCGCCTCACATCTCTCAGAATGAGACCTGAAATGAAATAGAAAATGGAAGTAACTTTGTTTTTTGACACCCTGCACAATATACAGCAGGGGAAATCACAAAATCATGTGTTTTGGAGGAGGAAAACAGCTAAAACATGCTGGCTAAGTGCCCTTGAGGACCGGAGTTGGTGACCCCTGGTATACTGTATAACGGCATTTTATTGTCTCCCATGAGCTGCTTTGGTACAAACTGTCTTGCATCATTAACAGTTTTGTGCTGTTATTAAATATGCATGGTCCAGTTTAATTTTGTGGTCATTAATTCCTCACCGGTCTTTGGAGTAATCCACCGCTGTAAAAATTATCGGGTGTGTTTTGCCATGCAGTGCTTGCACCCCCACAAATCGAAGCAAGGTGTTAATGGTGGTGTTTGCCTTTCTCCTTGACACCAAGGGCCTTTTTTTTTATTGAACGTAACACGTGTAATCCCCCAAGGCTCCTGGGACAGCACAACTGCTGATCCCACCGAGGTCACTTACAAAGTCACATACATTTGAAGCTTCCTATGCCTCCACTCGTGCCCTAATCACCAATCTGGAGGAAACTAGCTGTTCCCCAAAGTGGAATGCTGGATAGTCTGAACTCGACTTGAGTCCTGCAGTCAGTTACTATGAAGTTAAAAGGAAAAAAAAACCTAATTACAGGGACAAAAGCTGAATGTGAGGGAATTAAGTATGTCCAAAAATGAATATATAAAATTACATCATTATATCATGATTAAAACAAAGTCTTCTTTTAACAGGGGACACTTTTGCTTCCCATACTAAAATAAAGTGTAATTGCACATCCGCTGCAGTAGATGGCAGTGGTGTTTTCATTGTGAGAGTATGCACAGGGAGTATTAGCTCTCCTGAAGAGGTGCACTTACTACAGTTCTATGGACAAATGATACTATTTATAGTCAAGGCGGAGAATTGGGGGGTGGAAAATATTTCCCTATATAATGTGTTATTATATACAGTATTCGATAATATATTTCTTCCTGTGATCAAACTGGAAAACATGTTGCCGAATTTCCCATGTGTGCAGCCATACCTACGTAACTTTTGAAGACATCTTCTGTTAATGACTTTTTTTTTCTCGTAATATGATGACTATTCTCCATTTATAAAAAAATGATGCAGATCATGACCCATCTACTTCGGCACAAACTGCGTATATTTTATGATGCCGACATATTTTTAGTTCCCGTTGACCAACCTAACTTCAGCAGACCGTCCAAATGGCATTTTCTCCCCCCTCACGATGAAAGTGGTACTGGTGAGTGTAATAATTGAAGGAAAACACAGGAGCCATTTTCATTCCAATAATTCTGCACAATCTCAGCCTCTCGGAGGTGCCCGCTTTTCTGTTTAGTCTTGCCGGCTATTGTTATTATTTCGTTCAGCATAAGCAATCTTGGTGAGGCCCGTGCTCTTTAAAATGCCCGAGTCTCCTCACTGGGCCTGACAGGCAGGCGCGGCAGCGGTGTTTTCACAGCCTGTAGAATTATTCTGCTTGTCCAATCAGCTGAGCTGGACTCTGGAGGGTTAGTGATTGGACTGGCAGGAAATCAGGCTCTTAAGACATAACGTATCGACTAGGCCATCCATCATCTCTTAGCATGCACCAGGGTACACCAGTCATACCCCCCACCCTCCCCCCAGTCCCTTCAGACTGCGCGGGAGCCCTGCCACTGCGTAAACATAAGCTGAGGTGGCCATGGCTGGAGAATTGGAGTGGGTTCACGCTAACACCGTAGGAAGACTATTTCTTTATTCGTTCAAAATTGTCTGGATAGTCTTAGTACAAAACTAACGTGTTTTTGTGGGAGGGAGCCAGACAATATTCTTTTATAGGATCGACTCTGTGTATCAAATAAACCATAATAGTGATGCGCCTATTAAATCGGATGATGGGCGACAGCCCTGGCAATTTTTTTCAAGGGCTGTGAAATAACTTTTATCATTGTAGACTTTTTCTATTGGGAATACATTGACCGGCATCTTCGTGTCAACACAATTTAGGAAACATTCCAACTTTCTTTTCATTTTCTGATTGGTCTTGTCTATTTAAGGCTTAATTTTCACAAAATTATGACTTTCATTTTCCAAATATTGTTAATTTTTTTTAAGCGGGGTGATATTCCGATTCGTCACTACGCCAACTTTAGTCTTGTAAAATGGCATTGTTACGCTCTCACATTTGTCTAAATGGAACATATTTAATCCCCATTACAGACTTTCCATCTACAACGCGTCACAACTTTATTAGAGTTCACTGACATTTGCACTTGAATACAAATGACAATGATTCTTCTCGAGTGTCACAGTAAAAGCAAATTAAAGTCAAACACTCACTTGATGCGACTGTTGAATTTGATGTTAAACAATAGCATTGAATAATTTATTGGGCCAGCATCATTTTAGAATCACAGCAAATGGGGGATGATTCAAACACAGGACAAAGTGAAAGTAAAAGTCAATTTCAAGCTGATTTCCACGGGGGTGTCTCTCATTTTGCCTGTCTGACCGACCATCAGTCCAGTGGGAGGAGAGTGGGAGGGTCCCACAGACGGACTAGAAAGAGACCCCCTCATCTGTAACGGCCTGCATAACACAGATGTTGGGAGTCATCTGCCACCCTGGCCTCTCTTTCCGGGTTTGGGCTGCTCCCGGAGAGGTTTGGGAGTTGGAGGTTGGTGAATCATTGGACACGGTACTGTCACTTTCTTACCCCGGTTCACAATGGAGGCGCATGCTAATATCAACTCTGAGTAACAACAACAAGCCTCAAGCACCTATACCCATTGTAAGGACATACATTCCACTTGACTCTTATTTCGATTCAAAATGAATTCAAGGTTTTTGTTCCCCTGCAGAATTTGTATGATCTCACCTGGCTTATGTCAATTTTGTCCAAAACATTCCTTAAGTTACCCGAAGACTCTTAATGGCCTATTGCTTTGACTGTGAGTCTAAGCAATAGGAGAACTAAATGGATGATATTACCAAAGACTGAAATTGACCATGTGCGCTGCCCCACGGTTTTTCCGGTGCGACCGCGATGATGATTGGTCTGTATCTGTAAGCTTTCACGAAGCCAACGCAGACTACGGACAAAAGACTTTAATACATATTTGTTTGTAACAGAGAACATGTGGTGTCCTGCCCAAGTGGAGGACGTGCCGCAAAGGTGGGGCACCAGCGTAGCCAGACGTGTGACATCAGTCACATTAGGTCCTTCTCCTGCCATACATTAGAATTGGAAATGATGGGCTGGTCTCTGAGGTCTTGCCTAACTTCCCCTGGGCCTACAGGGAGGTGGGAGGGGGGGGCAGTTCATACACCCTTTGTTCCCTTAAGTATAAGTAGTGAGGGGAGGTGAGTCCTCTCTGTCCTTCTGTGGTCTATTATGAATAGATGTGAATGTAATGATTAGCCCCACCCCTTTTTTTCCCCCTTATGTAAAACGCCATTCAGCCCACTCATCATATGTCGTCCCGAAAGGAATCGCAGATATTTTTTTTTTCCTCTTCACTATTTCTTTTACACTTATGTACACACACACACACACACACACACACACACAGACACACACTGCTCCCCTGCGAGGAGTCCCTCCCTCCGTACGTTCTTTTGGAATTGGGCCCTAATGTGCCGCACACACACACACACACACACACAGACACGCACTGCTCCCCTGCGAGGAGTCCCTCCCTCCGTATGTTCTTTTGGAATTGGGCCTTAATGTGCCATTTTCATTGGCACCGAGGCGGGCCACAATATGGCGCAGCGGATCGCTGTGGGAATATGAATGTTGATTAAGCATGCGCTCAGCCTTTTGAAATTCACCGAGAAGTGTCAGAATAATGGATGTTGAGCAAATGTCAAGCATTTGTTAATTTCTCTGTTATTGGTGGGGGTTTATCCAGCGTGATCTTTGGAGGCAAAAGCAAAGGGCAGGCTTGTTGTGGCATGTGCCATTGATATGGTGATTTCCTCACTCCAGACACTTTGTTTTTGATGGTAATATCTCGGCTCAAGACGAAGCCGAGGGACTTGCTCATTGATTATTTATTGTGCCTTCAGTGTTTTTTTTTTTTTTTTCTTCTTTACTCACTGGTTAAAACACTGCCTTTTACACGTCTACATTTGACTTGTCGATTTAAAATAATAGACAGATTCTCTTCAGAATGATTGTTGTCAACGAAGGCTGTGTCAATACCCTACAAGTAAGAAAAATTCAAATCAGAAGCATGAATGACATCATGCAAAAGCCATTTTGTATGCACACTTTGCATCCCCGGCACATTTTGCTGACGTGACAAACATATGTACTTAATGAGCCGGATGGGAGCAGAATTTAATAAGATCTTCTCTGACAAGTAGAGCACTTAAATTCAAAGAAAACAGATCTTTTTGTGTTGTAAAAAAGAAATAAATATTTTTTTGTGACGGAATTTGATTAAAAAATGAACTCGCAAGCAATTTACCTGATCACAATCAAATTTGAACCTGGCTTGCCGCTTAATATTATTGATACCATATTGTCATCAGCAGCCAGGAAAATGACATGTTTAGAAGCTTTCTCCAATGCATTTTTTTTTAAACAGAGGGGAGCAACGGAGAACAAGGAGAAGCTGTGCTGAGTTTACAACATTTATGTCAGACTGAGGAATTCATGAATAATAGATGCAATCAATTACTTGATGAGGAAGAACAGCAATGATGACTTCCTCTTCATATCGGGGATGTTGTCCAAGCACATTCGATAGACTGCGTTGCCTTTTCAACTCATTTCGCTAAAAACACCGATGTACGCAGCTCAACTATAGTTGGCCTTGTAACCGTTTATAAGGACACGTTTAAGGGTAGAAACTGTCTTTGTGGAGTCATTGCACCAAATAAAACACGCAGGAAATACGTGTTGATGAAAATAACCTTTTGACTAGGTGAGACAAACACTAGCGATTGCGTTAGCGTTGTCCTTCATCATCGAGGGACATTCAAACACATTTCAGGTAGTTGTTGGTAGCTGTGCGAGTATTTATCTGAAGCTGCATGACAGCTACATTTGTATGTTTCTATCTCGTCCGTCTCAAATGCTAGCGCGTGCATACTGTACATTAACACAGAGGGGGAAAAAAAATGTACGGTTGTTCTCGAAACGCTGTGCTGAGAAACAGATGTGAGCGTTTGGCCGATCAGCGTGCGTAATTAGCAGCTTTCGCGTATCTAGTTGTCGACGCGTAGAAGAGTGAACGTTGTCGGCATAGCCACATGGTTTTAACTTTAACTGATGTCACTATCAAATACAATAAAAAAAAAAAATGAAGCAACGTTTTCCTTCTTACCCCTGCCACCCCATCATCAATGAAGGGAGATAAATCAGAGATGTTCTGTATCCAAATTAGCCAGTGCCATGCCCCGAAGTGTCTCACCACGCAACACCTCGCATGCATGCAGATCCACCAAATGCGAAGCGCCGCCACAGCATATGATACCAATGTCATTAGCCAGGTGGCTTTCATTACCTAAATTACCTCCGTTGTTTATAATTAATTATTTGTCAATTGGCATCTGAGAATTTAATTGATATTCGTAGCTGGAGGGTCCGATGCTGCGTTTTATTCAGTGCACATTATATAAAAAAAATACAGTTCTGCGCTCGCAACTAGTATTCGTCACTTTCCCCAAGCAGCGGATAGCCAAACTTAACCGAGCCGAAAGCGCAAAGCAGCGGAATGAGAAACTAGAAGGCGCTAATTATTTTCAATCTGATCGACTTGTTTGACTATTTTGGGGCGCCACAGTGCATATTACTGCCCCCATCTTCCATTGTAGGGGGGAGATAATGAGGTTGAAAGGGAACAATTCCTCAGCCACTCTAGTGTTTCCCAGCCTTCTGTTTTTTCGCGTTCTAAATGACATTTAAGAAGTAGAGCATGAGGAAGGGGGTGGGGTGCTGGAATTGAATCTTTGTTCCAACAAAAGTCGATTAAAATATGCTTAATGTCCAAATGGCCATTGTTTGATTGAATACAAAACCAAGAATCTTGCTTTTAATGGGGTAGACGGACAGTTGAAGATTCGTTTGCAGAATTTAAAAAAAAAAAAAAAGAAGTCTCCAAATATACCTCAAATGCTGATTTGAGGTATAATTTGATTGCCATCATGCTTGGGATGGAAATATGACAGATTAAAAAAATAAAAAGAATTTGAATCAGGCCCCAAGATCCTTCATTGAGTCTTTTATAGGGACTGTATATTTTCTCCAAAATGTCGTCAATCGTCCTACCCCAGGTGCTGCATTGCATCACAGGACAAGTCGGAGCATCAGTTAAGCCGGAATTGCTACTGCGAGGCAGGCTCGGTCCCAGACGGGGGCTTGCTCATTGCCTCACATTTTAATATCTCGCAAGCATATAGTTCCCAGGGGGAGACCAACTTACTGATACATTAATTTTAAAGTAACTCGCTTCTAATGCACTCGCGAATGGGAAAAGTGGTATTTCACTGTAAAACTGACACTGTTAAAACCGCTCTTGGGTTTGGGTCCACATCTTGGCAGTCATCTCTCATAATGCCCTGTTTTATTAATATCTTTTCAAAATGGAACATCAACCAAGTCTGTTTGTTGTTCACTTTTTTTTTTTTTGTGGCGGTTTGATAAGAGCTCAAAATGGCCCGACTAAAGAAATAAAAACAAAAGCTCCCAAAGATCTTAGGGGTTTTTGAAGCCGATCTATTTTCTTAGATATTAAGAGCAGTTTATGTCCCTTTAAAGTTAACAGGGTATAGATTTAGCAATTAGACTGTAATCATGCTCATTATGGAGTAATCCATTTAAAACCTAACAGATGTCTGTTCCAGCAGGGGGGATCGTGACGGTCCCATGCCAACCATCAGGCTGTAATGTTGTTGAAATGCTCAGGTGCAAGGTTGAAGTGTGGAAGACATTTTTTCCACCCCTCCCTTAAGTGTCCACATGTTGACAGTTGACCATTTAATGGTCCCCCCACCCCTCTTAATTGCGGCGGCCTCCTTCGTCCCCAAGCATCATTGTAAATTGATGCTGAAGCAGAAGTGTTTTTTTTTTTTTTTTTTTTTTTTTTTTTGGAGTCGCTGTTGTTCTCCTCAGAGTTGCTGTCATTTTGTCTATTACTTGAAACTTGTGTAGCTTTATTTTTGGAGAGTGTCGCCTCTGTAATGAGTCATCACTGTTGGAATTTTCAGTTTATTTTATTTATGACTTGCAACTGAAATTCAAGCTGACTTGACGTTTTGTCCATTCTGTGCTTTTGCATTAGTGTAAATGTTTATGTTTTATTCAGATAAAGACATCGCTAAGGTTTGACGAGACTCTTCTGTATTTATAATTTCATATCTTGTATACTAAGCAGGTAACAAAAAATGGGTTGAATCGGAAAATCGGTTCTGACTGAAAAGGTGCGAGTGAATCGAATCAAATCGTTCCATTTTGAAATATATCGAGATACGTCTTTTAGTTGAGAGATCTCTTTGAAAGAAATTGCGCTTTTACAGAACTGTCAAGTTCAGTCATGCATGTAAAATGCCAACAAGAACCTCGTTGCATCATACCCTCTCGAACTGAGTCTCACAATATCGAATCGAATCACAATCCAGCTGAATCTAACCAAATCATTCCATTTTAAAATCGAACTGCCCTTGAATTGCTTCGCACCCTATGAGTAATAAAGCTTCTTTTATTGTAGAGACCTCTAATATATCCCGATGGATGCAAAGTGAAGCTAGGAGAGTCTCTGTTGCCCTGTTCTTTTTACACTTTTTGTGGATGTGTGACTACGAATCGACACTTAATTGATAATCAAATACATGGATAATTCATTTTTTGGGGTTTGAAGAACAATCCTCAATTTTTCTGGGTTGCAATGTGGTGTTCTGTTCTGTACAAGCGGAGGGATATTGAAGGCAGTCCCTCTCGCTGCTGCTTGTTTCCCCACGTTGGTTGTCTTTGCCAGGTGTTTGACATTGACCGGGGGCCGGGGATGAATGTAGCTTATGGCAACCTTTTTGGAATGAACGGACTCCTGGGAGCCACTGTGCTTCCTGCAGTGCGAGTTTCCATTTTCAAAGCCCGCCAG